TTAATCACCCTCATTTGTGCCCAGTACAATGGGACCCTGATCTCAGCTGGGGCAGGGGCTGTCTCTCCCTGTGTGTCTGTGGAGTGCCTGGCACAACGGGGCCCTGATCTCAGCTGGGGCAGGGACTGTCTCTCCCTGTGTGTCTGCAGTGCCCAGTACAATGGGACCCTGATCTCATCTGGGGCCTCTAGGTGTTACCATCATGTATACAATAATGTCCCAGGAATCTTTTAATACTCTGAAGACAATATTAGAAGCACTGTGAAAAAATTATAGATTTATTTATTTTTTTAAATAATCCAAGGGCCAGATCCCCAGCTGGTGTGAACTGGCCGTAACTCCATCGGAGTCAATGGGCCCAGACCCCCAATGGATGTAAATCAGCATTGCGCCATTCACTTTATCAGCGTTACCCAGATTTATGCTGCCTGAGGTTTTGTTAGCTGCAATAGAGCTGAGAACACAGGATGTTCTGCATTCTATAGATGCAGCCAGAGGTCGCCAATCCACCCGGTTAAATGCGCACAGCTTCCTTCTGGCAAATCCATTTATAGTGAGTGTTGCAGATTTCAGACTTGATCTGATTCTTCTTTACTGCAGCACAGCTGTTCTCTTCCGCAGGACCCGATACCGTGAATCTGTGAAAGGAGTGAAGGAGACAGTCACAATCAGTGGGTTTAGAGGTGGAGAAGAGGGTCTATCGCAGCTTTTCTCCTTTCTTTCAGGAGGTTGGGGTTCCAGCGTCATCTCTAGTCCTTCCCTAGATTGGCTAATACATGAAACAAGTTGATATATTGAAGTCCAGACGTGGTGGAGAGGGGCACATGGTACAGAAACTTGCAGCAAAGTGATTAATCAGAGGGCTAGCGCCGAGAGGCCAATCTTTAGAACAGATGCAAATGTTCCGCATTTGAAACTTACATGAAAAGTTGAGTCAATTTCAAATTTCAGTGAAAAAACAGAGTAGTTTTGATGAATTTTGAGTGATCTAGTTTTTTGACCAACTTTGGGGCAGTTGGGACTTTCTCAGTTTTGAAATTGATCAGCTTTTGAATTTTAAAATCTCAGATGTTGACAAAAAACAAGAAAAGATTGAAACAATTGTGTTTCTCCCCATTTTGTAACCAGTTCTGCCCAGGAGTGTGGGGCCATGCAAACAGAGACCCTGATCCTGCAAACATTTATGTACTTGCCTTGATTTCCTCCCATGCATACTGCCATTCACTGCCATGAGACTTAACCCCATGTGTTAACCCCAGGATTGAGGCCCTTACACTGTAAGATTTAATGGATGAAATCCTTGCCCCATGGAGGTCAACAGCAGATTTGCCATTGACTTTAATAGGGCCCAGGGTTTCACACTATGTATTTATTGCAGACTCATGTCAAATACTAATCAGGAAACACTCACAGTGTTTGATTTAACGGGGAACCATCCACCCAGGTCCACTTCCTCCCTGGGGATGTGATGTTGAGTCCAATCCACACCGGATTTTGATTTCCTGTAAGATTCTGTGTGAACTCCTGTGACATGGACATGGTGTCAGAGAGAACAGAACATGGTAGAATTCTCTGGCTCCTTTGCTCACAATGCAAATGAGACCTGATCTCTAGTTTGGGTTTTGATCATTAATATTGGTGACGAATCAGGACTAGCTGAAACTCCAATTGAAAGTAAACATAACAAACAATCTATAGCATTAATTAATAACTGAGTCAGTCCTGTTCCCCTCCACCAAGATTTTGATGAATTTTGGTTATCATTTTTGGGGAACATCAGTAAACATTCTCAATTTTTTTGAATGACAATTTTTACAATTTTTGTGCTGTTTTTTTTTTTAAACACAGCTCTAATAAATAATTAATAGCATTTCAACCCTGGGCAAACATGTCAGCTGTTATCCACCTACTGCACCTCTTTCCAGATAGGATTCTGTACAGAGTGAACAAACCCTGTGCAACGTTGCTATACAGCTGTTACCCAGCTGTCCCACCCCAGAAGTAGCCGCATCCCAGCGATAGCTGAGTGATTCCTGTCTCCAGTTTGTACCTAATCATTTTAACACTGTAAAATGTTTTGGGATCTACTATTAATATATTTATTTATATAATAATTATATATATATATATATATATATATATATATATATATATATATATATATATATATAA